GGAAGCAGGCTCCTGCCTCTCACAATGAAAGATAAGTACCCCACTATTTGGGAAATCCTCTGTCAGCCTTTTTGGGTTATGTTTGTAGAGCTAGATTGGTGTTTACTTATAACTGGCATAGATTTAAGAAGTAATTCTAGTAAGCAAAATGGCTCTAAAACTATTTGCCCTCGTTCAGACTTCTCACAACAATACTACCCATTGAGACCGACATTCAGAAAGACGATTGCATGAGCCTGACTGAACCAGCTGTGTGTGTGTAGGGGGCACAGCTGTGTGTGGGCCTGGCTTGCGAGGCTCCTGCTCACCTTGTCACTGCTGTAAAGAGTGTTCTGGAGTTCAGTTGTGCTCACCCTGCCCAAGAGTATGTGGTTCTGAGCACTATCACGAGGTTTCTCTCAGGTCTCTCCTCAATCCTTTTTCATGATATCTTTAAAGGGTGGCTTTTTCAAATCTTACTATGACCCTTCCCAAGCCTCTTCCACCCACCATCATTCGATGATACCTCCTCCCCTCCCTCCATCATCTCCTCCATTAAGTGTAGGAGATCACAACTTCCTGCCAAGGCAATTTAAAAATGCATCTCCTCCTCAGTCACCTTTCCATCTCCCAGCCCAGCTGCAGGGAGCCCAAAGCTCCATGTCCCTTGTACCTATTCTTCATTTGAATCCTTTTAAGTATGCCTGGGGATCCCTGACCTGGGTCCTCTTATGCAATGAGATAGGGGTGCCACAGCCCACATGACTGAAGGGTCCATGGAGTGAGAAATGATGGTGGGAGATTAAGAAAAGAAAAAGAGACATAAGGTGGGGCCAGGTGGGGCTCTAACTCCTGATGGGAGAAAAAGATCCCAGGCAAATGTAGCTTCCCATGTAGCTGCACATCTAATAGCTCAGAATACAGTGCACACCATGCTTCCTCTTTGGGTAGCTACGAGCTGGCAATTTTGAAAGTCTTGACTGTAGCAGCTTCAAGTTTCTTCATATCACCAAGGAGCCCCATATCAACTGCAGCAGCAGCCATTTTTATAGAGTGAGAAGTGACTAGCATACTTCATACATATTATGAAGATAAGATATGCAACACATCTTCCATCCAGTAGCAGCATGATTCCAAATATCTACTGCATTCCCTGAGATTTTTGTGAGACAATAAAGTGGGCACTCTGTGGCTCAATGAGTTGGAGTAGCTCAACAAGTACATTATGTATTCATGATCCTTAAGTCTTAACTAGGATCACAACTCTGGCTGAGGGGTCACAGTCATGTCATCAGTATCCCACAGTGGCTCCAATTCCATCAGCCTTTGTCAAAAGAAATGTGGCATTGATGAGGAACATAGGTGCTGCAGGTACAGGTAAAGAGGTAGAAGAGACAGCACACAAAAGGGCTCACACTGCAGCAGAAGTGAGACACACCTTGCAAGTTCTCAAGAATAAGGAATGACTTATCCTTGAGATAAGGAGGGAATTCGGGAGAGGCTTATTAGGCACTGTCTCAACATGCATGCTAGCAAAATATGAGTCATCAATGTTAATCTATCTATAAGGTAACATGACTTACACATGCAGCAAATTGTATAGTCTCTCCATGTGTGAACACTGGGCAGTGACTGGTACTACCCAGATGGATATGGAGCAGGTTTCTCACCACCTCAAAACCTTTGATCCCTTGCACAGTTGTCTTCAAGCATTTCTCATATTTCTTATTCCTATCATCTATGGATGCTCTGCTTCTTGATCCTTGACAATTCTGGTAATTGCCCACTGAAAGCACATGTCCAGCTGGGAAGACACACAGAAGGTCTCTCCTTCCTTACTAGATTAGGGGATCTCTGAGAACAGGAACTAAGAATAGTTGTTTTTCTTGTATTTATCTCCAGGCTCAGGAATAATCACTTGAAGGGTAATCTACAGGTACTGGTTGACCAAGACTGACCAGGAACATGGAACTGGACCAGTTGGCTAGGGAAGGCTAAAAAATAGTGTGTCAGTCAAGATAAAAAGGATGAGTAAAAGTTAATGACACTGAAAACTACAGTACTCTGAAAAAAAGAGATCAAAGAGGGTATAAGAAAATGGAAAGATATCCCCTGCTCCTGGGTAGGAAGAATCAACATAGTGAAAATGGCCATACTACCAAAACTGCTATACAGATTCAATGCAATGCCAATTGAAATTCCAACACTATACTTCACAGAATTAGAAAAAAGAATCCAAAAATTCATTTGGAACCATGAGAGACCTAGAATAACAAAAGCCATCCTAGGCAACAGACACATGGCAGTGGGTATAACAATTCCCAATTTGAAACTATACCACAAAGCCACGGTTATAAAAACAGCATGGTACTAGCAAAGAAACAGACATGAGGATCAGTGGAACAGACTGGAAGACACAAAAATAACTCCAGATGTACTCAGCTACCTCATCTTTGAAAAAGGAGCTGACCATCCCCACTGGAGGAAAGATAGACTCTTTAATAAATGGTGTTGGAAAAACTGGATCTCAACATGCCAAAGATTAAAACTAGACCCTTATCTCTCACCATGCACTAAACTAAAATCCAAGTGGACGAAAGATCTAAATATTAAAACAGAAACACTAAACTTGCTGGAAGATAAGTTAGGCAGAACTCTGGAAGACTTTGGCATAGGAAAAGACAGGTAGAAGCAGGGAAACAATTCTTAAGATGGTGTATCAATCCAAGAGAGACAGATGATGGTGGCTGGAATAGGGTTTTGGATGGAGATGGCTGAAGGGGAGGTGTGAAGGGAAACTTCCTTGACACAGTTTAAACAACTGTTAGGTAAGCCTGGCATTTATTGAAATAGAAAACACTGAAAGAAGAGCAGAGAGGATGATTACTTCTGTTTTTCTATGCTGAGTGCAAGGTGTCTGTAAGCATCTGTGACAGTTGAGTTTAATTCTCAACTTGACTGGATTAAGAGACTTCTGGAGAAGTGAAGAGATCATGGAGAACTATACTCATCAGTGGATTAAACCACTAATATTCATAGCTGAATGTGCTGTTAGGAAATGGGGCCTAGCTAGAGGTGGGTTGCTGGGGGTATAAGGTATATCTCTCATAGATACTCTTGCCCTATACTCTGCTTCTGGTTGCCATGAGTTGAGCAGAATTCTTCCAAGTCTCTCTACCATTGTGTTTCCACTTTGCAGCCTGCTGACCATGGACTGAACCCTCTGAAACCATGAACCAAACAAACCTCTTCTTTAAATCATTATGTTAGATATCTTCTCCAGCAATGAGAAAGCTGACCAATAAAGCATCTGAGTTTATTTCTACCTGGGTGAAAGAATTTTATATTTGGGTATGCATCTTTAGAGAATAAAATTGGTAAGAGCGGTAAATCTGAAAGTGATCTCCACTTAGATGGTAACTGAGACCCCAAGAAGCTGGGGATAGTACAGACTGGGAAGGGCAAGGGCCACTGGACACAAGGGACTTTTGATGTGGAAGAGTTGGAAGAGCTGCTTCCAAACATGGCTGCTCACAAGAGCACCTGGGAAACTTTTAAAATGTATACCTTCAGGAGAATGTGACTATAATGTATATTTTGAAAAACCTATAGTAGAATTAGAAATGATTTGGTAAAAGAATATTACTGTTAAAGAGGCAATGACTGGTTAGGAGAGAGGAAACAAAATAATGGTGGTGTTTGAGATATCAAGGTGAGGATTTCAGTAAGAAAGCATTCGACAAGATCAGGACTGAATTTAATAATGAGAAGCCAAAATGATGGTGCATCCATTTGTCTGACTTCTGAAAAGTAGCAAGTTGACATTCAAATTCATAGGAAGAAAAGGGCTAAAGGTGTAGGGAAAGTGGGAAGGGTAGGGGAAAGGTAGTAAGGAAAAGGAAAAAAATAGGAGAAAATGAAAAAATGGAAATAAAATGTTTGTAAATGGGGAGGGGAGAAGGGTGTGAAGGGAGGGCAGGGACAAGAGGAAAAAATGAGAACCAAGCCCTGTCATGTAAAGGTACAAGATCCCAATAATGAATTTAACTGTACTGTATACCTAGAATGTACCAATAAACTCAATGAGGACAAAAAAAAAAGACATTCAAATTCAGCAAATACAAAAAGTAGATCGGCAGAATGTCCTGTGCTCAATGCCCTCACAGACACATGCACAAAATGGAGATGAGAAGAAGGGAAAGAGGGTGTGTAAGGTAATAGAAAGCCTCTCAGTAGTGGTAGAATATGATCTGTGTCAAAATGGATGGTAACCAGGCAAGGAGCTAAGCAATCCTAGAAGGGGAAATATGGAAACAAAAGTATGATCACTTAAAATAATAAGGTATACCATGGGAAATAAAGTCCCTAGCTGAAGCACAAGAAGTTAGATTTCAGGGAGGGAGAGAAGAGGGTAGGGCCCAATTCCTAAGGACCTTATATGCCAAAATTAAAAATTTATTTGGCCTTTACCCCAAAGGTAAAAGAGCCTCGAGGAATAAAAGTAGGTGGTATAGTTAGATTTGTGATGTAGAAAGCACATTCTGTCAGTCAGAGGGAAGGATAGTCTACAACAGTGGTGGTGAACCTTTAGCATGTGTGCTACAGCAGGCTGTTTGTATCACTGAAAACTCTAAAAGATTTGCCATCACTGGTCTAGGATCAGGGATGAATTGGGAAAAGACGGAGACCCAAACTTCCACCTGAGGACTAGTGCAGATCCAGACATGGGATCTGGAGTTATAAGGGCAGTAGCAGTGAAGAAGAGAAGTACGCTCAACTGATGACTGATACCAAAGAGGGTTTGCTTAGCTGACTGGTTGGCTGAAGGCATGAGTCTTTGAGTCTGTAATATGTAAAAGATTGGATTTAGTTGAGGATAGAAATAGATATCCAATGTGGGAGAAAATATTTCAACACTGATAGGGTATTCCAATCTCCAAATGAGAGAAGATGTAACTGTGTTAGTCAGCTTTTCTTCACTGAGAAAACAACTTAAAGGAGGAATGGTTTCTTTGACTTACAGTTTTAGTCACTTGGTTCCTTTGCTTCTGGGTCCATGGTGAGGTGACACATTACGGTAGCCAGCATGTGGTAGAGCAAACCAGCACATCTTACAGTACATGGGAAAGGGGATGGGGAAAGAACATTCATTCATTCACTCACTTCAATTATTCCTCCTAAATTTTCAGCATCTCCTAATAATGCCGTCAAATAACGAATCTATCAATGCATTAACTCATTGAGGAAATCAGAGCCCTCACTATCCAATCACTTCCCAAAGTCCATCAGCTGACAACCAAGTTTTTAGCACAGGCTTTTGGAAGACATTGGTCTGTTTTGTTGTTTTTGAGACAAAGCCTCACTTTGTAGTGCAGGCTTGCCTTGAGCTCACAGTGTAGCCTCCGCTAGCCTCCAACTTGCATCCATGTTCCTGCCTTAGTCTGCTGAGTGCTGGGATTACAGGCATGCACCATCACTCTGAGTTTGGAAGACATTTTAGATCCAAACCATAACAGTAATGATATTGCTACTTTCCTTGACTGCTTTCTTTCATCTCTAAATCATCCTATTTCTTTCAAATACCTGAATTCATATGTCTCTTTAGCTTCCAACTAGTCTCTGTATGCACTTTATTCACTATTTAATTAAAACAATGTACCAATGATTTCAAAGTATTGTAACTGGGGACAGATACATAAATAAGATATAATTTGCCTTCCCCTCAGAGATTACTTTATAAACCATTTAGCCATGTTACAAAGGTTCTGAAGAAACATAGTAGTATGAGGCAAAGTATAAAGGAGTAGGGCAGATTCATAAATAGGTTTTAGTACGTCCGTGACTTCCCTAAAATCTGAAAGGTAAAACGCTATGAGAGGAATGCAGAAAGGCAAAGGATAGTTTACAGGTCAAAGGGGTCTTTAAGCCCCAAAATGCTAAGGAACACTCTAGTCTATTTAGTCGGTATTGATACACAAACTTCTTCCCCCAGAGAAAGCAGTGAGTGACCAAGGGGACGCTAAAAGTTTGGAGATCTATCTAGTCTACTGATGGTGGACAATTTCTATTCTCAGACATCAAAAGTGACCAGTGTTCTGACTCAACGTCAGAAAAGTCAACGCAATAATTAACTTTTAAAAACAGTTATTTAAAAAGATTAGATGTTTACTGGGGAGTTCCAGCCATGTGCCCCAGGGCCCCGACTCTGAATACCAGGGTAGCAGGGCACCGCCCCACTAACACCTTCCCGCGCCGAAGGAATATACTAGGAGTTCCACCTTTTAGGTTTCACTAAGAGAAGTCAGAGAACTCTTCCGTAATCCAGGCCGGGTTTTCAAGCATGAAGACGGAAGTAAGCGCGAGCCGGAAGTCCCAGAGCCTGGACTAAGAAAGGGGGAGGGGAGCAAGAGAAAAAACAGGGTAGGATGGCGGCTCAAATTCCAATCGTGGCTGCCACTTCCACTCCAGGGATTGCTCGGAACAGCAAGAAGAGGCCGGCCAGTCCTTCCCACAACGGCAGCAACGGAGGGGGGTATGGCGCCAGTAAAAAGAAAAAGGTATCCAGTTTTGGCTTTGCGCAGGTACTCTGTCGCGCTCGTAATTTGCGCATGCGCGGGGTTGGATGGGACCGAGAACGCATGCGTGGGATCGCGGCACGGGGCGTGCGCGTGTGCGTGTGCAGTGCCGGGAGGGGCGCGCTGCAAGCTGAGGCCGTCACTAGTGCTTGGTGTGACTTTTTTCCCCTTCATTTGGATACCTGAGGTTTGGTTAAAGAGACACCCGCTTTGTATTGTGAGGGGAGAAGGGAGCTTTTTACTGATAGTAGAAGACCGCCTTTGGACAGTATTTCAGAAGTAGGTGGGGCTCCCCCGCGTTCTTCTTCGACTGTCATAGGTGCAAAGTGCCCTGATGTCCTCCGTGGAGAATTACGAAGTCGCGTTCATCTGTGTGGCTCCCCCTCATCCTTAGGAACTTGCTTTTTTGACCCTCAGTTTTTCCTCAAGGAGGTTCCCCTTGAGGTTCAGGGAGTTAGATGAGATGACTGTAAAGCTCTGAGCACAGCATAAGGCAGAGATTTAAAGTCATTTGGTGAACCAGGCTCTGCATTCTCCGGAAAGAATTTTCAACACGGTGGCTTGAATGGGTTAGTGTTTTCTCTGGTCCTACACGGTATTCACAGCAGTAAGAGAGCAAAGATGGAGTGTTGGTGCCCCTCCGCTCATGGTGTGTCATGGAGTTTGCCCAGCGACTGTTGTATCTAGATGGACACTGCCCTTGTATTTGATGACTCTCCCTAATCTCTTGGTACATCTTTGAGGTGAGGTTTGAATGTGGTAAAACGCACAAATTAAGAGTACAAATCACTGACTTAATTTGTGTATACACCCATGGCTGCAGCTCAGATAAGATGGCATCTCTAAGGAACCCAATAGCTGGGTGTGGTGGCGAACTCCTGTAATCCCAGCACTCTGAAGAGGCTGAGGTAAGAGGATCATTGCAAGTTCGAGGCCAGCTGGAGCTACATAGTGAGTTCAAGGCCAGCCAGGACTACATAGTGAGACCCTGTCTTTAAAAAGAGAACTGAACTGGGCCTATTGGCATATGCCTGTAATCCCAGCACTTGGGAGGCAGAGGCAGGAGGATCGCTGCGAGTTCAAGGCCAGCATAGGCTACATAGTGAGTTAAAGAGAAGCCTGAACTACATAGTGAAACCCAGTCTCAAAAAACCTAAGGTTGGCTGGATATTGAGCTCAGGGTGCCTGCCTCCAAAGTGCAAAGGCTAGAGTTCGATCCCTGGTACAAAAATAAAACAAAACCACCTAAGGGCCCCAGGAAATTACTCTGTTCTTCCCCTACCAGCGATAACCGCTAATCTCGAATATAATATAAATGGGATCTTATGGAACACATTTTCTTTTGTGGCCTTCTGGGTTCCTTTAGGAAACCGTATTTTTGAAGCTCATTCTTTACTGATATGTTATATAAAAAGCTGATGGACATTTGAATAGTTTACAGGGTTGGACACTTTATTTATTTATTTATTTATTTTTGAGACAAGGTCTCACTATGTTGTCCAGTCTGGCCTGGAACTCCCAGCAATCCTCCTCCCTTAGCTGCCCAAGTGCTGGGATTACAGGTGTGAGCCACCACACCCGGTTCAGGTTTTGGCTTTTATATAGAGACTGCTGTGAACATTCTTGTTCAAACAAGTCTTTGTATGGATTTATGCTTTCCTTTCTGTTGTTTTTTAGTGGAATTTCTGGATCAGAAGGTAGACACACATTAACTAAGAAGCTGTTAAATGGTATTTCCCAATATATTTTCACAATTTTTCATTCTTACCAGCAAAGTATGAGAATTCCAGTTCTTCATCTTCAGTAATACTTGGCATTGCCAGTCTTGAAATTCTAGCCACTCTGTTGAATAGATAGTGGTAACTCACTGTTTTAGGTAACTCACTGTTTCTTTGATGGCTAATACTAACCACCTTTTCATGTGCGGGCCATTCTAACATCTGTTGTGAACTATCTTGATTATTTTTCTAATTTTAAAAAAAATTGATATGTATGGGTTTCTCATATGCTCTTTTCTCTTTTTTTTTCTTTTTTTCTTTTTCTTTTTTTTTTTTTTTTTTTTTGGGGAAT